CCTAAGTGGGCCTCTTCTTGATCCAGCTCTAGCTTGAGGCCAGGAAACTATGGCATCAGGCTATGGGCAGGCTGACTTCTGATCAACAAGAAAGCAGGAATAAGGAGAGTTCCTAATCTCTTATCAATACTCTATTACCTATGGCCATTATTCTTATGTGGCAAGTGTGCCAATTAATTCATTAATGTGAATCCTATCCTTCTGCCTTGCCCAGCCCCAGCACCCCATGAAGCAGCTTGGCCCAGTAGAAATACACAGAGTCCACTAGCCCAGGGTTTAAAACCCCAGCTTAATTCCATGAGCTGTGTAACCTATATCAGCCAAATGGAGATGTAACACCTACTTCCCTGTGTTGTATGGATTCAATGACATAATGTATGCAAGGTGCCTTGAGTGCCTACTATAGATGCTCAGTAATGCTGGCTAAATTGGGAGCCATTCAGAGAGTGCTTTTACATGGTGGATGCTCAGTAATTATTAATCCATTTGGTTGAAATGTGCTGCAGAAGCACAGAATCTGTGTTCTTTGCCTCATTGCATTCTCTCCTTTGCCTCTCCTCTCTCCTCTCAGTTTCTCTATCTCTGTCTCATTTTACCAAATTATTCATTCATCGGATAGAGCCCACTGTGCACCAAAACTTGCACTAAGTGCTAGAGAATCAGAGATAAATGAAACATTGAGATGGAACCCCACCCTAGAGAATCACACTTCTGGGGGATGCATGAGGACTGTGGGAGCCTAGAAGGGGTATACCTGAATTGTGTCTCTCTATTCTCCTCCCCAGGAGGTCATTGCCTCCATTCTGCTGAGTGGACGGATAGGGCCCAACATCCAGCTGGGTGAGTGCTATGGCCTGAGGCTGAAGCACATGAAGTCGGATGAGATCCACTGGCTACACCCGCAGATGACAGTGGGTGAGGTTCAGGAAAAGTACGAGTGTCTGCACATGGAGGCTGAATGGAGGTAGGAGAAGAGCCCTGGGCTCTCAAATGGGGGGAGAAGAGTGTGGAGTGGGGAGGCCCAGGGAAGTAATTCCTGGGAGCATTTCCCAACCTCTGAGAATCTTCTAGAAAATCTGAGTGGCATTTTAGGCTTAGTTCTCTTGCAGCATCCAATGCATCTATTGGCCAAGACTTAACATGAGCTCACAGTACACCCCCTCTCCCAGGGCAGATATCAGGAACATCCCCAGACAGGATGCTCTTGGTGCTACAGAGAAGGGCAGGGAAAATAGAAAACCAGGTCAAGGGCTGATCTGCAAACCTAAAGAAAACAATTGCCATGAGGGGGACAAGGTGGAGAGTCAGGACTAGTATAGACCACCACTTGCTTGTCACCCCTCTGTCCTCCATGGTCTTCCCACAGTCCTCCACCTGACCACAGAGGAGGGAAAGAAGAAACAACTCCTGAATGGGTGGCCATGAGCCTTATGGGCAGACTCTTAAATGACAAGTTTCCCTAAGTCAACCAGAGAGTCTGAATTTCCTGTTGCAGGTATGACCTCCAAATCCGCTACTTACCAGAGGACTTCATGGAAAGCCTAAAAGAAGACAGGACAACGCTACTTTATTTTTACCAACAGGTAGAAGTATTTTTTTCTTCCTGTCCCCAGGGCCCTATTACTCATCCTTTCCTGGGGAGATAGAGAGACAAAGCCCAGATTTTGGAGGTCCCAATCTAGGAAACTTCTCTTGGGGACATGCCTTTGTCCCTAGGCAGCTGTTCCATCTTGGTTCTCTTATGGCTAATTAAGTGCTGGCTTACCCTGCCCCATATGTATAGCTACTTTTGGACTTTGCTGGTGGCTATTTACTTCTCAGGAGACCTGGTGACGGGCAGGCAGAGCAGGTACAAAGAGAATTGGTGGTCTTAGCACACAGACTCTGACATGCCTGGCTTCTGGCCAGTGCTGCCAGCTACTAACCTAGTATCCTCCTGGGGCTTAATGTAACTGCCTGAAGCTATTTCCTTTTCTAGAAGATGGAGATGATAATAATAATACTTACTTTATAGGGTTGTTGTGAGGACCAAATGGTATCACTAGCAGGGTGCTGGTAAACCAGCTCTCTGAAGAAAAAAATCTCTGATTTATTGCACTTGCCAATTTCCATGGTGTAAATATTCCCCTATCATGGCATTTTTCAAGCTACCAATATGATATCATACAGCTTGCAAAACTTCAGAAAATTTAATAAATGGCTTTCATGAGCTGTTTGGAGCTGCTCCAACACACCACTGGCTGTAATAAATGTAAAGTGCTTAGCACAGGACTTGGCACAGAGTGCTGAGGATGTGTGAGAGGCCATCATTATTTTCTGTCTGGTTTCAGCTCTCACCTGTGTCTCCCTCTTGGTTTTCTGAAGACAAAGCCAGACTTTTATTGTGGAGTGAATGACATCTGTCACTAAGTACCAAAAATACTTTGAATAAATGATTGACTCATCCCCAAATTCTATTTCTTTACCTCTAAAATGAAGAGTGGAAAGAGGAATCTGAACCCCAGCCTCATAAAGCCATAAGAAAATGTGTCTGAAAGTGCTTCAAAAAACCTGAAGGCCTTGGCCTGTGGAGGCATGATTCTAGAGAATTCTAGAGGAAGAGGCAGAGCAAAGGGAGAGTCTCCCCCTCTGCTCTTCATCCACTACACATTTGTGCATGGTGGGCTGTGTGAGAGAGATAGCTCAGGGCAGCAGGATTGTGTTCAAAGCACCCACCATCTCTTGGAGCCTAAGGTCAGGGAAACAGGGAAGGAGGGCATGACTCTCAACCTTGGTCTTTCTCCCCACCAGCTACGGAATGACTACATGCAACGCTATGCCAGCAAGGTCAGCGAGGGCATGGCCCTGCAGCTGGGCTGCCTGGAGCTCAGGTATGTGGCCACAAGGACCCTCCAGGGACTGGAGCTCTTAGCCAGCTTGGACTTGCCTCCAGGGTGGGAAACAAGAGTGGGTACATGAGAGCCATGGGGACAAGTGGTGGCTGACAGAGGGTAAGGCGCTCACTGTCTGGTCCTTAGAAAAAAGAGCCAGCCCCATTTCTGGTCAGTGTCCCCTGCCTCCTTTGGCTGCTCTTCCCTCCAGGCTGTCTTTTTCTTCCACCTATCTGCCATTCAAGTGATTCAGTAAATGTTTCTTTGAGCACTAGGCAAAGTCCTGGGAGGTATTCGAATGTTGGGTTTCCACTGTGCTCTTCACTGTTGTGTCTTCAGCTCCAGTAGGAGCTGGGACACAGAGCCTGCTGTCTGGCATACTCTTCTCATTCTCTTTTCAACCTGGTAAACTCTTTTTTATTCTGGCAGCTTTAGAAAATTTACTGGGCCAGTGTTGCCTGTTCACCTTCTACATTCACAGAAAACCTCAGGACTTGCCTGTGAAAGGTCCATAACAAGCAGGATGGTGGCCATAGTTTCTTCCCACTGAGCCAACTCAAGGGCCTTTCCATCTTGAAGGCCCCTCTTCCTCATGCCCACCCCATCTACCTTACCCTGTATGGATCCTCTGTACTTAGGAATGAATGGCTCACATGCACTAGATTGTGAAATCCTGTCAAATCCTTGAAATCAGCATTGGTGCTGCCTTCGCCTGGCACCAAATGAGAGCACAGTACATATTTGAATGAATGGACAACCCTGAAAGATCTAAAATCCTCTTCTCTGATGGGCATTTGCCAATTAAATAGGTGCGTACAGCAAGCCAGTTTGTTCAGCTATCTAGGAGTACATTTTGCAGCTCCCTCAAGCCAACGGGAATTGCTGGAGGCCGTGTTGCCTGTAATCCTCACTTCACAGGCTTGCTCTGAGGTTTTCTGTGAATGTGGGGGTCAAGCCCATAGCACTGGCTCAGAAAACCTTCTATTTATTTTATTTATTTATTTTTAATTTATTTTTGAGAGAGAGCGAACACAGATGGGGGAGGGGCAGAGAGTGAGGGGGAAAGAGGATCTGAAGCGGGCTCTGCGCTGACAGCAGCAAGTCAGATGCAGGGCTTGAACTCACAAACCAAACCTTGAGATCATGACCTGAGCAAAGCCGGCACCAGCTGAGCCATCCACTCACCCTTGACTCAGAAAACTGTCTAAAGCTGCCATGATAGGCTGTGTGGAAATTTCGGATCTTAATCACCAGCACCTTCAGGTAGAAGTAGGAGGAAAATGACCTTGCGTCCAGGGAAGAATCCTGGATAGGCTCTTCACGTCCTACAACTGAATATCATTGCTGTTTACCTGTTGTTTGGTTTCCAAAGTACAGGTCTGCCTTAATCAGCTGGCATACTCCTCCAGGATCTGCTAGCCCACTCTGTCAGATACTCTATAGAGAGAAGTGAGTCAGGAAAGAACATTTGTCCTAGATTCCTGAGTTCCTTCCTTGTATCAACCTCCCAGGTTTCTCCATCTCAGCAATGGGACATTTGGTGCTAGATAATTTGTTTGGAGGGCCATTATGTGAATGGCAAGATACTTAACAGCGTTCCTGGCCTCTACACACTAGATGCTGGTGGGACCACCTTCCTCCCAACCAGATGTGACAACCAAAGATTTCCAGACATTGCCAAATGTTTCCAGGCTGGAGAGGGAGGTGTAAAATTGCCCCTGGTTGAGAACTACTGAATTAATTCATTAGAGGGTCATATATATACTCGGCCACTAAATGCTAGGCCCTCCAACAATCCTCGTTGGCTGCATTGGGTCATTTGTTTTTAGAGGCCAAAGATAGAACCACCATTTTTCTCTTCTGCCCAACAACTGGGAGGTCCCAGAGCTGGGCTTCCCAAAGAACAGGGCTGGAGTCCTTCCTAGGAATGAAATTTGGGGGTTTTCTTTTTCTTCGTGGTTTTGTAAATATCAAATTTTTTCACTCTAATATTCTCCCTTCAATTGGTTACTACATTTGGCAGGGGAAAGGGAGCTTCTAGACCAATGTGTGGCTTTGGGTGACCCAACTCTGATGGCCTTGTTCTCCAACCATCAACCTCTCCATGACTTCTCTCTCTCCAGGCGGTTCTTCAAGGACATGCCCCACAATGCACTTGACAAAAAGTCCAACTTCGAGTTCCTGGAGTAAGTCCTGAAACTGGTCATTGCCTCTCCTCCCTTCCTTCCTCACTGCCCTGCTTCTCCTACTTGCTCCCTACCTTGTTCATCTCCATACCAAAGCCAGGCAGGACCCATCTTCCTGGTCCTCCATCCATCATATCTCTTCCTGATGGGTCTGAAGTCCTGGGCTGGGGGTGAGGGGGAGTCAAATGCCACTTTTTCTCCTCTTCTTTCAGGAAAGAAGTAGGACTGGACCTGTTTTTCCCAAAGCAGATGCAGGAGAACTTAAAGGTGAGGAAACCACTGGGCAAGGGGCCCAGAGAGAACCCCTTTGTGCTGGTCTCTATGACTAGAGCCCAATGGCATTGGGTGGGGGATACTCAGGAAAGCCAGGGTATCTCTAGTGTCTTGGGCCATCTGGACATAGAACCACTAAAAATATCCAGTGGGCCCTTTCTGTGGCTGGGAATTAGGAAACCTGGCTCCAGTTCCACATCAGAGGCCAATTATCTTTGTGGCCTGGGGATGCTACCTCCCATGCCTCCATCCCAGGGCTCTGGTGAGCCTCCCTGGAGACAGTAGGTGTGTGGTTTAGTGAACAGATGGCTGCTGCTCTCGTGGCAAAGGCCTGAGGACCACCCTACAGTAGCAGACAGGCTTTTGGTGAGATCAGGGAAGGAATCAGAGCTTGGAGGAGCAGGGCCGGCTCACCACTGACCATCTCCACCCCCAGCCCAAGCAGTTCCGGAAGATGATCCAGCAGACCTTCCAGCAGTATGCCTCGCTCAGGGAGGAGGAGTGCGTCATGAAGTTCTTCAACACCCTCGCGGGCTTTGCCAACATCGACCAGGAGACCTATCGCTGTGAACTCATTGTAATGACACATCCTCTTTATTCTCTCCCTGACCCAAATTCCAGGCCTCTCGGGAAAGGGGCCCACAAGGCCAACTTGGGGGCAAGAAGAGGCGTGTTGGCTCGAAGTAATACACACAAGCAAAGGTCCTCGAGCAACTGGGCCTTGCTGACATGCCCTAAAATGCAACTAATGTTAAACTGCTTGCCTGAGGAAGGGAACTGAAATCTTGGCTACAAATCTGGGAAGTGGGCAGAGTAGGCAGGGTATGGGGAGGAAGGGAGTCCTTACGGTAGGGTTTTGAGATTGAAGGAGCTGGAGGGCACAGGAGACAGAGTGGCCTGTGTCTAAATTAGTGAACTTTTTGTTTTTCAACTTTCTGAAATATGAGGGAGACAAACCTGAAGCAACAGTCCTCTCTCCTCTTTTATTCCAGCAAGGATGGAACATTACTGTGGACCTGGTCATCGGCCCGAAGGGCATCCGCCAGCTGACAAGTCAAGATGCAAAGGTAGAGAGAGACTGGGGGCAGGTTGCACCCACCCCTAGGCTGAGCGGTCTCCCCCTCTCTGCTGCCTCCTACCTTGTCCTGATTACCAGTCATCCCTGCCCCTTGCTGAGAGCAGAGAGGCCCTTGGTTTGAGTAGCTGTAGAGAGAGTGTTTGGGACATGGAGCAGACGGTTCTTTACTTCCCCGTGACTATCTCCTGCACCCTGGGCGGCAGGGTGGTGTGGTGGGGAGGAGAGGAGGGAAAGGCACTATCACTGCTCTTCTGGCTCAGATAAAAAAGTTGATCTTGAAATGGCAAGATGGGACAATCATTTTCTGGGAGGCAGAAGACCTGGGTCCAGTCCCGGCTCTATCACCAATTTGGCATATGACCGTGAGCAACTCCTGGCTCCCTAGACTCCTCTTCTCTTCTGCAAAGTGAGGAGCTTAGACCAGATGATCCCTTCTGCCTTAATAGTCTTTGATTCTCTCTTCACACCATGGAGAGACCTCCTTGAAGGTCTCTCCTCCATGCAGGACCTCCTTGCAGCTCCTCCCCCGCCATACTGACCAATCTTCAAGGCTTGATCCCAGGAGTGGGATGGTCTGAAGGGCCCCCTGCTTTCTTACAGCCCACCTGCCTAGCTGAATTCAAGCAGATCAAGTCCATCAGGTGCCTCCCACTGGAGGAAGGCCAGGCGGTACTACAGTTGGGCATTGAAGGTGCCCCCCAGGTGAGCGTCTCTGGACACCTGGAAGCTCTAAAACAAGGGGATGCAGCTACAGGTTGGGATTTCTTGCCCAGGCCAGCCTGGTTTCTGGGATCTCACTAAGAAAACTGCACCCATTGCTCAGACGTTATACCAGGCTGACAATAAAACTATAAGGGAGATGTATCAGGAAGCAAAGCTGTTTAAAAATGTCAAGAAATAAGTTGGAGGAGTTTTTAGGGTGGATGAAGTGACCGGAAATCAAGTCACAAATCAGAGATCTAACTCTGAACAAGTGAATGATGACTCAGTAACAGTACCTCTGGGAACCTGGGCTTTTTGTGGGTGGAATAATCAGAGAGAGAGAGAACTCAAACTGCAAACTGATTGTCTATCTCTCCTTTCATCTGACTGTCCCCTATCCCGCTCCCTCTTCTCCTAGTTTCTGCTCTTACCTATTGAGCACCTACTGGGTACAAGACATTATGCTACGCACTTAGAGACCAAAATAAGTCCTAGCAAAACTGGCCTTTCCAGGGTTTAATGTTGCCAGTGGGGAGGGGTGGCAGGAGCGCCCCCTGGTGGCTGTGGGGAATGCAATCCCTGGCAGAGGTGCTGAGGGACTCCCGACAGGGGAACGAAGGGTGGCCTTGTCTGCTCCTTCTGAGTGTGCGATTTCTTCTCCATTCCTGTGTGGCAGACTCTAGCCAAGGGTCTCAGGTCTCATACTTGGCTGGTCTCTTCTCTGCAGTCTTTGTCCATCAAAACCTCCTCTCTGGCAGAGGCCGAGAACATGGCTGACCTGGTGGATGGTTACTGCCGGCTTCAAGGGGAGCACAAAGGCTCTCTCATCATTCATCCCAAGAAAGGTGAGTTTCCATTTAAAGGCACTCTGGCCCAATGGGCAGATGTGGCACAAGCCCCCAGTGGCAGAGCAAGAGAAGCTAAGCCATTGACCAGTATGTGAACAAAGAGGCTTTGGAAGTGTGAGGAGGTGCTCACCCAACCCTCCTGGATACCCCCTGTGGACCGTCCTGGGTCCTTAGCTGCAGGCCCTGGCCAAAAGCAGCTTGGGGAGCTGGCATCAGGAGCAGAGATGTTTGTGGCCCCAGGAAGATCAAAGCTAGTGTTGGAACATGACTTGTCCCTCCTGTGAAGATCTGTCTATTTTGGGATCGGAAGCAGGGGTCCGAGCTGGAACACGTGGGTGGTGGCAGAAGGAAGGCTGAGAATTTCTTCTACTAAGAGTGTTCTAATTCAGGCCAAAGGCCTACTTAGCTTCCGCTCTGACTCTCAGAAGATACAGAATGGCGGGAAGGGGTCTCCCTTGTGTTGGCTCATAGGAGCAGTGAGGTCAGCCATCCATCTAGGACCCTGTGTCCCTGGCTCCAGCGCCCCCTCTTTCTGCCCTCTCCCCAGATGGTGAGAAGCGGAACAGCCTGCCCCAGATCCCCGTACTGTGAGTATAACAGAAAGGCAGCAAACAAGCCTTGCACTCAGCCTGTGTCTTCCTGGGAGAAGGCAGAACAAATAGGGAGGCCCCACCCATGGTTTCTGGTTTCCAGGACCCAGGGGAGAACACTGGAACCCCAGCACATCACAAGTGGCGATTTCTCGCCAGTAAACTTCACCCTGTAAGTTCTTGCTGGGGTAGTCCGGTGTCCTAATGCTACCGGCATCATCTTAGGGATGCTGCTGTCCTCCGGCAGCCTGGGCCATGCTCCCAGCCTGGTGTCATCAGGACAGCCTGCTCCTGCAGGCAGGCAGGGGGCACAGTGGGGCTGGCCTCTATGAGGGGTGGGCGAGAGAGGGTGGGCTTCCCGGGGGCCTGTTGCCAGGCTCTGAGTTCACCAGCTCCTGCCTTCTCATCTCCTCCTACAGAAACCTGGAGGCGCAGCAGCCCCATCTCTCAGAGAGCTTCAGCATAGGTAAGCCGCCCGTCTGCCATTGTCCTCCTGTGCCGGAGCCTCCCTTCCACCTGCTCTTGTGACATTGTCAAAGATTCCCTCCAAGCTCCAGGAAAGCAGACTTCCCCTATGACTTCTCAATGATGGCTTCAAATGTCATGAATCCCAATAGCTAACATGTATTCAACAGTTAGTACATGGCACCGTGTTTGTCTTGGCTTGGGCTGTCATACTAAACGCCACAGCCTGGGGGCCTTCCCAGCAGACATGTGTTTCTCACAGTTCTGGAGACCAGAAGTCTAAGATCAAGGTGGTAGCAGGGCTAGGTCCTGGTGAGAACTGTCTTCCCGGCATGTGGATGGCCACCTTCTCCGTGTCCCCATATGGTGGATAAATGGAGAGCTCTAGTCTCTCTTCTTCTTATCAGAGAAGTAATCTCACCATGGGGGTGCCATACTCCTGACCTCATCTCAACCTAGTCACCCCCAAAAGCCCCGTCTCCAAATACCTTCACACTGGCGGTCAGGACTTCAACATAGGAATGGGTGGGGGGGATACAAACATCCAGTCCCTAACCTTGTTAAATATATAATAGGTATTATTTTATTGATCTTTATGGCATTCCCCAGAAACATTCATTTCACAGAAAGAAAAACAGATTAAGGGAAACTAACTAACTTGCTTTAAATGATGCAATCTGGCAGCAGTGAGCAGGGATTCAAGTCAAGGTGCCCTAGGTTCTGTGGCCATGCCGAAACCTGGGACAGAAGCCCCAGTTCTTGCCCGGCTCCCCTCCCCTCCCAGGGATGTCAGCCTTGGTTTTGCTGGCCTGCATGTGGGAGCCACGTGCCTGATTCCTGGCAGTGCCTGCTGAGGGTATCTTACCCATAGGATGTTCTCTTTCTGTCATTCCAGAATCAGACATCTATGCAGAGATTCCCGATGAGACCCTGCGAAGGCCCGGAGGTAGATCTCTGACCCTACCACAATGGCCACAGCCAGGGTCCTATGAAGTGACATTGTGGGGACACCACAGGGGACTTTCTTTCCTTCCTTTCCTGCATCTTCTCCCATGTGTGCTTCAGACAGAGACAAACCTGAGTGAAACACCTTGGATTTGAAAGCTGAGATTATTGTTTTATTCCCACACTATTGACCTTTTGCGTGCCTGTGATGTGTGTGGGGATCCTAAGAATGTGAACATGGGACCTGGCCTGCAGAGAGAACAGGGTGATGATGGCTTTTCCCCAGGTCAGAGATAATGGAGCCTTCTAAAACTCCTTACCCAGGCCAACCCCTGGATCTTAGCTGAGATGTTGTTGAGAGGTCTGGCAATGCCTGGGTGGAAACGGAGCAGAGCCTGGCCTTGGGGCCTGCAAATATTCAGATTCCCAGGGGCACCAGCGGTTTCTGTGCCCTGAGACCATCTGTTCTTTCCATCTGCCCAGGCCCACAGTATGGCGTCACACGGGATGATGTAGTCCTGAATCGGATTCTTGGTGAAGGCTTTTTTGGGGAGGTCTACGAAGGTGTCTACACGAATCATGTAAGATCCAGACTCTTCACTGACATTCCCTTCCCACTTTTCCATAGGACAAAGGGGAGGTCACGTATTGTGAGGTTGGAGCGGCCACCATGATGTGTGGCTCTGCATTCACTTGGCATTTGCAGTATTTCTGAAATCCCCAAGGAGTGCTGGAAGCAGAGTCATTTCCCAGAAGGATAGCAATCCCAGGGAGCAAAATGGAGGCAGGACCTGGTGAAGGGTTGGCCGAACCTTGGCAAGCAAAAACATGGGGAGGTGTGAGAAAACTCAGCTCTGAGAAGAGGAAGAGCAGGAGCTGAGGGAAGAGCTAGTCTTGAGGCTGCCAGTGGGTTGGGGCCCTGAAGAGAGTGGGGCCAAGGAAAAGAGGAAGCAGAAATGTAAAAGCCAACAACAAAGAGAGAGAAAGAGGCTTTGCATGCGATCTACACGTGACCACTACTGACATGGGGCAGAGCACAGGCCCTTAGCCTCAGTGTCCTCATCTAGACGGCCAGAGGCTCGGGTCTCAAAGATTCTCTCTCGTCCTGACATACCCTGGTCAAGAAGTGAGGAAGTCAGAAGTGGAGAGAGGAGTGGAGAGAAGAGTGGGGGGGGGAAGAAGGAGGAAGGGGAGGACTGTGCCTTGCAGAGCCCCAGAGGCCCAGATGCTGTCTGTCTTCCCTCGGCTGTCAATCAAGCTTGCGGGACGACCATGGCAATGCCAGGAAGGGGACACTTTCTTCTGAGCACTGGGCCAGCCCAGAAGTGGGGGACAGGGGCAACACTGAACAGAATTTCATTGCAGAAAGGGGAGAAAATCAACGTAGCTGTAAAAACCTGCAAGAAAGACTGCACTCTGGACAACAAGGAGAAGTTCTTGAGTGAGGCAGGTAGGTGTGCCCTGGAGAGTGACACAGCCCTGTGCATGAGAAAAGACCCCTGGGACCACACAGACCTGCAGGATGGGAGAGGGGCCTGGAAGCTGGGATGGGGAGGGTACGAACAGTGCAGGGACCTCCATTGGGAGGAGGGGTCTCATTCCCTGTTTATCCCAGTTGGGACAGCACAGTGTGTTTCTCATATTGGACCTTAGCACCCCTTTGGCCCCTCCCTCTTGCCCCCAATTTCAGTGATCATGAAGAATCTTGACCACCCTCATATTGTGAAGCTGATCGGCATCATTGAAGAGGAACCCACCTGGATCATCATGGAATTGTATCCCTATGGTGAGGTGAGCTGCAGGTGGGGGAAGTGGAACCCTGTGGTGACAAGCTGGGCCACTGTTGAGCAGGGCCTGTGGGTGGGATGCATTTAGAACATGGGCCCTAAGCTCCCAGCTTCTGCCCTCTGTATTCAGCTGAAACAACCCAGAGATCATTTGTAGAGGAAGTTTCTGGAACATCTTAGCAACCTAGGTTTGCCTGGGAAGAGCTTGGAGGCTACCTGCCGAGGTCTTGACAGCACTTTCCCTCTTCCTACAGCTGGGCCACTACCTAGAGCGAAACAAGAACTCCCTGAAGGTGCTCACTCTCGTCTTGTACTCCCTGCAGATTTGCAAGGCCATGGCCTATCTGGAGAGCATCAACTGTGTCCACAGGTGGGCTTGGGGAGGAAGCTGGTCTCTTTCATATGACCCAGGGAGGCTGGGGTAATGCAGGACTTCGGAGTCACAGAGACAGAGATTGAAAGCCCAGCTTTGGTCCTCAATGCGACAACTTGAGCATCTTCTGGGAACCCATTTCCTCATCTGCAAAGTGAAATGGCGATATGTGTCTCACAGCGTTGCTATTAAGAGTAGTCTAAAGTGCTGGGCATCTGATTGTAACTCAGGGCATCTAGCCCGCTTCCCTGTGGGTTTTAAGAAATCGCTTCCCCACTTGCATGGAGCTTGCTTTCCTCAGGCTCACGTGCTTGGTGACACATGGCCTGGGCAGGGGACAGGACTTGGGCAGTGTCTGGAAGATCCTGAGGTCTGGGCCCTCCCCAGCCCAAGCAGCTGGCCCCGCACTGGTCCCCAGAACCCCTGAGCTGCCAAGTCCTAGTCTCCCTCTGGCTGTGGAGTGGCCCCTTCTCCAATAGGCCCCTGTTCCTATTCCCTGAAAAGAAGGTCCCAACCAGGAGGGATATGATCTCCTGGAGGAGACAAAGGGGGGTGCTCTCAAAGCATTGGGGCGAGCAGGTGAATTCTTCAATCCCACACCATGAACGTGGGATACGTGGCCCTGTGGGTGTTACTGTGCAAAGCAAGGTGTGGGGATATAAACGTTCATTCATTCATTCCATTCACTCATTCAACACATATGGAACTTCTACCCTGTGCTTGCAGGCGCCGTCCTTGGCTCTGGGATGAAGTCGTAATTAAAACCGACAAAAATCCCTTTCCTTGTGGAGCTTACCTCATAGCATGAGGGGAAAATTCGAGATGTAAATAGTCATGGGGTGCAGGTGGTGGGGTAATGATTTGTTTCCTCTGTTTGTTTGGGTGAAGTCATCATGCTTTGGAATCAGCTTTACAGTAATAAAGACAAATGGTAGGGAACGGAGCCTGCCTGTGAGGAGCAAGCAGACAAGCCGGTTTGGGGTTAGAAATGATGCCAGGAACATGAGGTAAACTGAGTCAGTGAGTTCTCCCTGCGGAGGAGTGAGAGCTCAGCTCTGGGGTTAGGCTGCCTGGGCTGACCCCTTTTCGCACAGGGAACCTACTGGGCCAGCTCCTTCCACTCTCTGTGCCCCTGTCTCCCCCTCTGTGCCAGGGAGGCCTGCGGGTCTTCATGTCACAACACAGAGTGTTGTGTAAATGTGTAAAGCATTTGGGTGGTCTTGGCTGTCCTCGTGCTCCGTGAAGGGTATTTGCAAGCTGTTGCTTTCTGTCATGACAAAAGCCAACAGTCCTATGGAGTTGCAGAAATGGGAGAATAATTGTGATCAGGAAAGTTGCTTGAAGAACCAGCAGGGTGACTCCCTCCCTGGCAGGGGGCAGGATATAGCCAACAGGGCAAGCGTGTGGAGCAAGTCCTGGGACCTGAAATAAGCTTCACACTGGAGCCACGTGAGAAGGGGTGATGGGAGAGAAAGCTCAACAGGGAGATGGTGGAGGGCTTTGTGTGTGGCGGGACCTGAGGGCCAGTCTAGCCTCCCGCCTGAGCAGGGCTTCAGCAAGTCAACTCAGTGGGTCAGGGAAGGGCTGACCCATAGAAGTGGCCCTGTTCTGGTCCAGAGGCTGGGACTGTGGCCAGCACTCTTCCCCTTTATCTCTCTGTCTGTCCATCTGTCTGTCTCTGTCTCTCTGAAACATTCTGAACCTTCACACTTCTCTCCCAGGGACATCGCCGTGCGAAACATCCTGGTGGCCTCCCCTGAGTGTGTGAAGCTGGGGGACTTTGGCCTTTCCCGGTACATTGAGGATGAGGAATATTACAAAGGTGAGGGGAGTTTGGCCTCTGCTTTGTCCCTGGAGAGGTCTCTGCAGCCAAAATAAAGGAAGAGAAAAGAAAAAAAAAAAGAAAAGAAAAAGACAAGAAAGAAAGAAAGAAAGAAAGAAAAGAAAGAAAGAAAGAAAAGGGTAAAAAAGGAAAGGAAAGGGAAAAAAGGAAAGGGAAAAAGAAAAAAGAAAAAAAAAAGAGAAAGAAAGAAAGAGACTACAGTTGGTCAAGCCCAGGCAGGCCAAGGGTCTCTGGAGAATAGGCTGTATTTCCGGATATTTCTGGCTCTTTCTTCCCTAAATAATCCCTGTTAAACCTCTTTGCCCACCCAAAGCCTCTGTGACTCGTCTCCCGATCAAGTGGATGTCCCCTGAGTCCATCAATTTCCGCCGCTTTACGACAGCCAGTGACGTCTGGATGTTTGGTGAGTGGAGTTTCAGCAGAGTGTGGGAAAGGGTTCTGATTCTCCCCTCCATGACCAGGCTATGAGGGGGTACCGGGGGCAGGGGTCGGGACCCCCACCCCTGGGTTGCAAGGGTTCTCTGTTGCTGTGGCCCCTGAGAAGTCTCAGAAGTCCCACCACTAGTGGTGGGTTGGAGGCAACATGGGCTAAGGGCCTGCCTGGGCAGTATTGGTTCATCTTCCCGAAAAAGGCTCGAGGGGAGCATGCACTCCACCAACCAGCCCCGGGGACTGATGTGGGGATGCTCTGGAGGGCATCCTCAAAGCCAAACTCTGAGGTTTGTTCTCAGAAGGAGGAAAAGGGAGAGGTAAGAACAAGACCAGGTGATAGATGGACAGACCCTTACAGAGCACACAGCCACATAGATTTTCCCTCTCGGTTCTCCACAGCCAGCCCAATAAATCTCATTATTATTATTATTCCCATTTTCCAGATAAGGAAACTGAGGCTCAGCAGGCCAGGGGCTTGCCCATGATCGTGTAGGCAGCAAGTGTTGGTGCTAGGCTTCAAACACCAGCTTTCGAATAGAGGCCTCACTCCCTCCTATGAGAAGGACTGGTGGAGTCCCAATGACATGCCTTTGACTGCCCCCTCCTCCTGGCCCCACAAAACCTAATAGCTTCATCGGAATGGGGTGTAGGGAGGCGAGCCCTAGTTCACTTGCAGATGCTGGTGATTGGTCCCTCCATGGACCACCACGGTGAGCCCCCAGGGATGCTAGAGGGGGAAGCTAGGGAACACGGGAGGTCTGATTGCCACAGTTTTCCCTGAGGAGGGTGCACTGGCCTCTCCACGCATGAGTCCTCCCCAGAGCAGGTCCTGAGCCCTCTCCTCCTGCCCTCAGCTGTATGCATGTGGGAGATCCTGAGCTTTGGCAAGCAGCCCTTCTTCTGGCTGGAGAACAAGGACGTCATCGGGGTGCTCGAGAAGGGGGACCGGCTACCCAAGCCCGACCTCTGCCCACCTGTTCTCTACACCCTCATGACTCGCTGCTGGGACTACGACCCCAGTGAGCGGCCCCGCTTCACTGAGCTCGTGTGCAACCTCAGGTGACCATGGAGCAGGGGTGGGGGGCTGCAGGCACAGGGCCCCCAGAGAGCCAGTCTCCTCTAGAGCCCTTCTTACAATGTATTTCCTTAAGCAACATGCAGTTGGCCACCTTACGGATGAGAGAATTCAGGTTCAGTGGCAGTGGCGGGTGGGGCTGGGACTTGCCACCAGGACCTCCCCTCTGACCAACACGGAGTCACGCATCCAAGTGGAAATGACTGGTGCTCCCAGCAGAAGCATGGTGCAGTACATGTTACAGAGACTCAGCAGCTTGCCAGAGGCCAGGGGAGGGAAACTGAGTTCACCATCAGACACAGTGAGCCTGGGTAAGCCTCACCATCTTGATATGTCTCAACCTCAAGCTCCTAGTAAGTGCTCCAAAAATATTTTTTAGGTTAGAACCCAAAGTCTGAACCAGACTTTCACTGACATACCTGTGCTCTTTACAAAGACATGGGGTGTGCCCTACAGGAGGCCCAGCTCGGGCATGCGACCCGCACCCCCAACAGCACCCTGTGCCTCTTCTCTGCATTTGATTGTTCCTCCCAGATAGTAGAGAAGGCAGTGATTGATTTTTGACTGTTAAGACAGTGACCCATGGGTCGCCTCTCCCTTCTAAATGGAGCATTGGCAGCCTGGAGGTCTGATCTCTCACCCAAGAGCCATTATTCTCTGGGTACTGGGAGGTCCCTGGTGAAGGGTGCTGTCAGAATACATTTTAGAGGGTCTCCCTGTTTTCTTGGTGGCCTCCCTGCCGACAACTCCTCCCTGGGTGGTCTGACTTTTTTTTTGGCATTCTTTAGGGCAGGGGTCAGCAAACTTTTTCTGTAAACAGCCAGATAGTAAATATTGTGGGCTTTGCAAGCCATATGGTCTCTGTTACAACTACTCAACTCTGCCATTATAGCTCAAAAGCAGCCATAGACAATACATAAATAAACGAGTGTAGCTGGATTTCAGTAAGACTATTTGGGGGAACTTAAATTTGAATTTTTTTTTTTCAACGTTTATTTATTTTTGGGACAGAGAGAGACAGAGCATGAACGGGGGAGGGGCAGAGAGAGAGGGAGACACAGAATCGGAAACAGGCTCCAGGCTCTGAGCCATCAGCCCAGAGCCTGACGCGGGGCTCGAACCCACGGACCGCGAGATCGTGACCTGGCTGAAGTCGGACGCTTAACCGACTGCGCCACCCAGGCGCCCCTGAAATTTGAATTTTTATATAATTTTCACATGTCATGAAATTTCTTCTTTTTATTTTTTTCAATTGTTTAAAAATGTAAAAACCATTCTTAGCTTGGGGCCGTTCAAAAATAGGTGAGGGGGCTGGATTTGGCCTGTGGGCAATAGCTTCCTGGCCCCTGCATTAGGGAATCTAGTGTTTCATTAACATTCAAAACACCATGGCTTTAAACACTGCAGTCAACACATTGGCATTTTTTAGAGAAAGAAAATAGTTCCTGGCAACTACTTTTTGGGGAGTTACCCCAAGGGGTATGCTGGAACTGCCCAAGCTAAGGCAGTGGGAAATATTGAATTTAATTGTAGGCATTCCAAATCACAGTTCGCAAGTGTCACAGCTTAAAAGACCTCTCTGTACCTGTCTTTCCCTTCGTTGACACTCCTGATTAATTTTAGATTGATCTCTTTGGTCAAATTAGAGAAGCCAAAGTGTTCCAGGAAAAGTATTTGAAAGATGTAATTTGAAAGGGCCAAAGCTCTGGGGTGATGAGGGTGGGGGGTGTCTTAATTCACCCTGGGGGCTTGAGAACCACGGGGAGCTACGACAGGTGCTTCTCCATGGGCTGAGAGGCATGCCCTATTAGAGGAACAAGGCCAGCCTCCTCCATGGATGGAGTTAGAAGCAGGCTTTCTGGTATAATTGGAAGGATATCTGAAGACCCCAAGGACCCCAGGATATCCCCCCCACCCCCCGCCGCCCCTGCTCAAGCTATAGCCTGGCAGTCCTCCATTAGAGTTAAGAAAGGATTTGATGAGTGTTTCCTAATGGGGGTGGAAAGAAGAGCCCATTTAATGTCAAACTTTGAAAATTCCTTCCTGTAACAATAGTTATATTTTCAGAATTTATTGATTGGCAAAATGTACTAAGCTATATAATGAATTTTTAATATAATATATAACATACTGCTTGTACACTTGAAAATACAAAACCAAATAGTGTATATTCAGTAGCACATAATACTTGGTACACATATGAACATGTGGATTCATGGACTCCCTGTAATCACTCCAGAGTCCTCTAGGGTCTGTGACTCTCAAGTTGGGAACCACCGGATTGGGTAAGAAAGGCAAGAAGCATGCGCATAGCTAACCCAGGAATGAATCCATAGCCATTTCTCATTAATATATACCAGGAATGTGTTGATGGGAGATTTAATGAAAAATAGGAGATATAAGAGATGTAGAACACAGGCCTTGGTTATGAAGTTGGCTGGGATATAAGAAATCTACATAGGGGGTTGGTGCCAATAGTAAGCACAGGAAGACAAGATGCAGGGGGAGGTGGGTGGGAGACATGCTTGCACTACCCTGTTGGACTGGCTCTCCAAGTACTTTTTCCCCACCATAGATCCATTCACGTGATTTTCCCAACTTCACTGTTGGGGGAGCAGCCTCAGGATCCATCTTCCAGCCTTCTCAGAGGGGTCTTCCCTGGCCACTCTGCAGAGGAAACAGAAATGGGATCCAGTGGTCCTTCTTTGGGCCTCTCCGGGCTTCTGAGGAAGGAATGCAGAGAAGAGGTCCCAGGAGCATCTTTAACTTTATTCCTCTTTCTTTATCTGACCTGACTCCTTGGCAGTGACATTTATCAGATGGAGAAAGACATCGCTATAGAGCAGGAAAGGAATGCTCGTTACCGACCTCCCAAAATCTTGGAGCCCACAGCCTACCAGGAACCCCCACCCAAGGTAAACAAAGCCCTGGTCTCATGGATCCTGTGAATCAAGCAGAACTGGGTCCCCATCTAGCCCGTCTTGGCCTATATACCCTCCTCCCTTTTCCTCCAGCATAAGCAGGATGTACTCCAATAGTCCTCTTGGCCCTCAACCCAACTGTCCATCAGCACTGAACTCAGCACCCATCACATGGGTCCCCTGGCTGGTTTGATCTGAGACCCAAGACAGCAGACCTCTCAGAGAGAAGCTAGGGCAGGGAACCACCCTGTTCCTTTCTGGTGCAAAGAAAAGACCACTTTTCTTTCTGGTGTTTTCCCTGAGGGCACATGAATGGGGAGTGTCCCTTAATCCCTTATGTTCAGTTTCCATGTACATGCCCTACATGGTATCTCTAGGCTCAGAATCCAGTGCCCTGCTTGCCATGCCATTAGGTGGGTGGGTTTTGAGGGACCATGCCTATATTAGTCAGCTCAAGCTTCCATAACAAAATACAGTAGACTGAGTATGGAGGCTGGGAAGTCCAAGATCAAGGTGATGGCAGATTCATTGTGTGGTGAGCACTCTCTTCTTGACTTACAGATGGCCACCTTCTCACTGTGCCTTCACACACACTGTCCCTTCTTGCAGAGGGAGCAAGAGCCCCAACTCTTATGACCTCATCTAACCCTAATTATGTTGCAAAGGTCCTACCTCCAAATGCCATCACACTAAGAGTTGGGGCTTCAACTCTGAATCTGGGGGTGGGGGACACAAACATTCAGTCCATAACAAAGTCCTATCTGGTCCAGGACCTTTTCTCACTGTCCCCCTTGCCTGGCATGCCCTGCCCCTTCCCTCAGTCAGGGCCCAGCTCAGTTTTCATTTCCTCCATGAAGCCCCTGCCAGTGCCTGAGGCCTCACTGACTTGTTACCTCTGAAAGTATGTGGCTTTTGATAGCTGATTTGACAGGTATTCCCATATCTAAAGAAGCTACACAACAGAGATTGGTAAACCCTTCAATTAGTGATGGCCCCCAGGAGGACAGGAAGACTGGTTTCTTTGTACCTTCTTATCACTCAGCATATAGTGTGTGCTCAATAAGTGAATGCAAATGGTTTTAATGATAATTTTGCCCCTCATGTCTCCTTCATTCTGAATAAGCCTGACCTGTGTCCAATCTAGTATTCCCTTTGATGAGCATGGTCACTCAGGGAGAGAGCCATGGACTGACTCATCTTTGTGATTTCTCTCCAGCCCAGCCGGCCCAAGTATAGACCCCCTCCACAAACCAACCTTCTGGCTCCCAAGCTGCAGTTCCAGGTAAACATGTAACCAGAGGGCCGGGAAAGTTTGGGGCCATTTCTTATCTCAAGCCATCCTGAAATTCCATTCTTGTGCCTTTGAGGAGTAGCCGTTACCTGCTTGGGTTATTAGGAGATGGCCTGCACTGACTCCTCTTTGGTACCCACAAGAGAATTTGAACTCAGAGTGCCAGATATCAAAATGCAATTCTACCAGGCTGTCCTCAGCTAAGACTTACCTCTGTCCATAGTGTTTGTTGCTCTGTGTGCCTGCCTACAGCTACCTCTCTATGCTGAAGGCCTCTTCGGCCCCCTACCCTAAAGAAAGCTTTCTGAGAAGGAATTTCAGGCAGTTGGGGACAGTTGGTATTCCTCAGGGAATGGAGTTGTTCCCTGGGGCTCCCCTCAGAGGCCCTGAGCAGAACCCAGGTGGCCAGAACCAGTCTCCATCTGAGCTTTCCTCACACCTCCATCATCACCAAACATGGGATCTTCCCAAGCTGTTGGTCCCTGTCTGAGAATGTCTGTCTTGTGTCTCAGTCCTGGATCTCAGTCATAGGGAGCCAAGGCCCATCTCTTTTCTTCTCTTACATCCCTCAGCTCAGAGTCACTGCTCAACAATGGAGCATCTCAACCAATAGAAACAATATCGATTTACCTGGTACTCCTTACAGAAATGTGCTGTCCCATGGTCCTATATTTCTCAAGGAAATGCTCCAGTACCAAAACAAGGCTAACCAAGAACTAACAGATACATTTTTGTCCTGTAAAGAAAAAAAATCTTGATGCAGAAGACAGAAGCAATATTCCTAAAAAGCATCATACCTTTTTGTGTGATGTTTAAAATAATGATTAAACACACACACACACACACACACACACACACACACACACACACACACACATATTTCTGTGGGCTAATCATATCTCTCAGTTTGCAACATGACTATGAAACAGAGCTCTTTTCTGAAGAGTCCTAAAGGCAGAGACATGGACTCAGTAGGTGAGTAACATAGGTGGACCCCATGGTATGCAGAGCATCATGGTGGTTGGATGCTAGATGAAAAAGAGGCCACAGCGGTGGTGCAGACGCTAGGCAAGAGCCACGTGTGTTGCCCTATCACAAGACCAATGAAATGCCTACACCACATTCTTTATTAGCTCCTGAAGAGCAAGTCCTGTTTCTCCAATGGTGTCCATTAATGTTTCTCTGTGCTCATGTTTGTAGCAGCTAATCGTCCACTTTCTTGCCTTGTCCCTGTGCCTGGTGCTTCTTTGCTTCTCCTGAATAGGTCCCTGAGGGTCTGTGTGCCAGCTCACCTACGCTCACCAGCCCTATGGAGTATCCATCTCCTGTAAACTCGCTGCACACCCCACCTCTCCATCGGCACAATGTCTTCAAGCGCCACAGCATGCGGGTAAGAGGGCTCTGCATGCTGGGTCCTAACCCGAACTGAGGAGGCTGCTAGAGGGAGGCGTCTGGGCCACCAGAAACCCTACATCCTCAGGGTCAGGAGGTGCCCTCCATGCTTTAATGCACCAGCCAGCCCACCAAGGGGCTCTGTGATGCCCTCTCTTTTGCAAACACACTGGAAGCTGGGGGCCAAACCCGGCTCTGCCCTCAAGGACACCCAGCTGGCCTGGACCTGCCCCTGTCCATACTCTGGTGCTGTGGCAATCGGTGTCAAATCTCCCCTTTCCTGAGCCCTGGGGTGGTGTGGAGGTTTGTGGGCAGATGGCAACCAAACCTGATGGTGCCGGAGATCCAGGAGGCTCTACCCAGTTCTGCCCTTCCTGCGTGATTGCTTAGGTTGCTAAATCTCTCCTCAGTCAATGGAAAGGCTTCCTTGTGGCTCTACTTCTGCTGCTTTTGTAAAAGTTGCTGTTGTGTGGGAAGGAGCTTGGGGGTTAGTGTGGGGCTAAGCCACCCTTCCCAGTCATGTCTTTGTTATAACTGCCAGTGAGGTCTTGTGGACTGGCTTCTGATTGTCAAGTCTCGCAAAAAAAAAAAAAAAAAAAAAAAAAAAGGCAGCTTTGCATATAAAAGTGACGCCCACCTGCCCCTTTTCAGCACCCATCTTCTCCTTCAATGGAGCCATGGTCAGCTGGCATGAATATTTGATATACTTTACTAAACTGGGTCTTGATATGTGACAAAACAAACCAAATGCATTATTTTAGTTCTATCTCTGTACGCAAGAGTGATACTTCAGGCTCAGTATACTTGACTCTGAAAGTTTTTTGGGAAAACTACACGTTTATTCCAATAGATTTGAAAAATAGAGGAAAGTATGTTGACATGTTCTGTACTATTATTCTCAAATTAGGAAAATTTTTAAATGCATAAGATAACTTAGAATTCTAGGCAGCAAGATCTATCGTGGACTAAAATTTCCCCTGACCTCGCTCACTTTCCCCTTTTATGTTAATTTAACCAATTTATATCTTAACATATACTTAACAATAATAAAACTGAAGTTTTAAGCATGCACTATAATTTAGAATGTTCAGTTCCTCCACCTTCCTGTCCTTGACTCTATTTGTAGTTGAGTTTTAGCGAATTTTGCTTTAAAGTGTGTCCTTTTAAAAAAAACTACTTTGCACGTTTCCAGGGTGGCACTGCCTTTATCTAATCCCTGCTTCACCATAAGAACTTTGTTCAGTTCCATAAAGACAGACCGTGAAGCAGGAAAAAAAAAAGGCCTTTGTGTCAGGGATTTGGAAGTATTTGCCATAAGGAATGTCTGCCTAAAAGAATATAATGAACATTTCTTTCAGTAAACAACAACAAAAAAAGTAAAAAATACAAAATCCATTTTATGGTATACATCTAAAAGACTGAGAAAACCTCTTTCAGGTAAAATGCTGGAAAGGTGTAACAGGCTTCCCGTCAAGCATTTGAAAGCATTTAACAAAAATCAGAGACGGTTTTCCCACAAAAACTATTTTTTGTCCTGACTGACTCTATTGCCTTACTCATCTGGGAATCTAGAATTCCACACCAGGGTCAGGATGGCAGCAATCCTTCTCTTGAAGGATTAAACCACAATTGCGGTTTAAATTAATAATAAAATTCAATAAACTACTACTTTGTGCAGGACCAGTTAGCCAGGCACTGTCCTAGGTGCTGAAGGGAGAACGAGAGACTTCAGCCCTCAGTGAGCTTCCAGGTGGCCAGAAGGAATAGGGCGGGTGCATACACACTTACCTGTGATGCAAGCCATAAAGCTGGGAGTGGCGCACAGAGGTAACGCAAAGGTGCAGTGGGAGGTCAAAGAGAAGAACAGCTTGCAGCTTCTTTTTTTTCAGCTGGGCCTCGAAGGATAGGGAAGATTTGGACAGGAAGAAACTGGGATATGGGGGATGAAAGAGTCATCAATCAGTAGGAGCCAAGACTGAGTGATGTGAAGCCACAGGGCAAGTGCGGGAGCTGTTTGGCTAGAACATAGGAGGATGCATTTGGATATGGAAATAAGACTGGCAAGATGGGAGGCAGGTAGCCAAAATATGGAAGGACTCACAGCTTTGCGAGAGTCACTTTAAGGTACCACCAGAACCCGATTCCTTTTAAAAGTGACCAGCAATGTAAGTATCCATTACCTGATAGGAATATCTGAGGTACCGTGTAGGCAAGTAAGCCCTAAAGTGATTAATTGTTAAAAATCTAATGTTCACCTTGAGTTTTATTATGCAATTTTAAGTCATAGGAAAAAAATTTCCAATACATGTTAAAATATCTGATGAGATGGTGATCAGACTTGAGGCACCCTAGGTATTTGAGTATTGGGAATTTTCTTTTAATGCTTACAAAACTACACAGTGCTTTCTTGACTACTAACTTCTTCTACCAGCATCTAGTCTCTCTCAGTCTAGCCTCGTCTTACCTTGAGATTCCTAGCTTGATAGTCACAATATTTTACACTTAGCTCCTGTGTTACTATTTGCCAATAGCCTGGGGCAGCCATACCATTGTGTTTGCAGGTGTTGACATTTAACCATGGGTATTTATAACCTTCAAATACCCTCATTCTGGAGCATCAGCCTCTGAAATCAATCTTACTTATTTTATCAATTCTATGATTATAAAATACTCTTATGTCCTGAAACTTGTCTTAAAATAAAGTCTAACTCAATAGCCTCCAACTGAGGTGATCTTACCTCAGAGGGGACATTTGGAGATGTCTGGAGGCATTTTTGTTACAACTGGGGAGATGCCAAAGGTATCTAGTGGGTGGAATTGCTGGTAAGCAACCTACAATTTACAGGAAATCTTCCTCAATAAAGAATTATCTTGGGGCGCCTAGATGGCTCAGTCAGTTGAGCATCCGACTCTTGATTTGGGCTCAGGTCATGATCCCAAAGGTCATGGGATCGAGCTTCACATCAGGCTCCGTGCTGATTGTGAAGCCTTCTTAAGATTCTCTCTCTCT